TCTATGTACATTTGCATGATTTTTATAGTGCAGTTGGACTATAAAGGTTTTTCATACACGAGAAGAAAAGAGAGACATCATGTGTTGAACGTAATGCACTTCTCAAATGTGCTTTGGAATCATGTTCTTGTTTTTCGCAGATGCAGGAAAGGACAAAGATGTGATTGCCAACCTGAAAAAAGTTTTAGAAGAGCAAGATATAATATTAGCTGAACAAGGACAGGCACTTGACGAACGTCAAGGTGAATTGGAGACTCTTTCCACAGAACTGCAAACTTGGCAAGAAAAGAACGCCTTTGCAACCAAGGAGCTGGACATAAAGAAAAAGGAAATTACCAACTTGAAGAACCAAGCGATGGCTGCTAGTGATGCCATGAAAAATATGTCCAACAAGAACGAAGTTTATGAGCGAAGCGCCTCCGAGCGGATGCAGAACATGGAGAAGGAAATAGCCATCTTGCAGAAAGAGCGTGCTACTCTGGAGGAAAAGCTAGTAAAGAAGGATGAAGAAATCAGCAAAATGAACGATTCAAGAGACAACATCATGAAAACCATGCGTCAAACATTAGAGGTGGCTAACGCCAAAAAGGCAGAGTATGAGATCAAACTGTCCACCATCCGCGAGCAGTGTAAGCAGGATTTGAGACGAGAGATGGAAGAGGAACTGCGCAAAACGAAACGGGATTACCAGAGACAGCTTGACGACAAGGATAGGAGTATAGAGGAGATCAAACATGAGAAAGAAAACGTGGAAAGAGAACTCGCTGCTGAAAGAAGCGACTCTTCAAAAACAGATCCCTCTTCTTCGGTGAGAATAAAGTTTAAGAGTTTCATTTTGTATCCCTGTTGATCCTGTTCACACTCATCAGTGCTAGTAGTGCTGTGGGTGTTTGAAATTAAATTAAGTCTTCTTATTTGTTTTCTGTTGCTGATTTGTTACTTTTCCAGCTTTTCACTTGTATGAAGAGTAGGAACATTATATCACTTGGAGATCATTTTTCAGTTATTGCTCATGCGGAAGATGTTTCACAATTTCGACCTCAGGATCTGCTAGCAAGACCTTATCGCTTTTTCAATTAACTTGAATACACGGAATTCATATATGTGTAGTGCGGTTTCATGAAATGTATGAAAGCGATCCTTGCAGTAATAAACTCTACTTATGTAGTAGTGGAAATTAGACCTGAAAAAAATATAGGCCCACACGGGATTTGAATCCATGACCTTTTTGTTTGTTTCTTTAGGACCCTTATGTAGCAGACAAGGCGAATCCGACGACGTCTTGTTCAACATTAGCGAAGAAATGCTTGAAGAGGAACAGCAGTGACATCCCATTGGCTCAGGTAACTTGACGAGCCTGTTCATTTCTGGCTTAATGTTGGCAAAAATGCTTATCTTAACAGTTTTGTTATATAGCCCTTGGCGTTCTTTGCTCTGTTTCAGCTCAAAACCAAATGGACAAAAGCACAAAAAACAGAGGACAGTGACGAAGACTTTACTCCGGGTCCTTCAAGAAAAACGTGAGTGCACACACACGTACGTACCGACCGGTTTTCATTGTTTGGGATGAAAAGTCATCTTGGGAATGAAACAGTTTAGTCATTACTGTACTTACTTAAACACGAAGGCGCGCAATATAAGGAAGTCTTCCCTGGGAAGACCTAGGCTCATTTGTCACTCACCGTTGACGTGTGCGGCTCAAATTTAAATGCTGGTAGACGAACAAAAGGAGCTAATTAGATATCTATTGTTTACTTCCACCAGCATGGTGGCATGAGGTAACGGGCGAACCACCTACTTCGATCTCAAATTTACCGCCACAAATAAAGACAGTTTCCATCGGAGAAAGGAAATACAAATCTCAAAAATTCTTGTGTTGTAATGAAGACATAGAACAATTTTGAGGAATGTGTCCGCTTTCACTGCTTTAGAGTAGCTGTAGCTCAAGCTGACTTGACTCTAAGAGTTCAACATCACACGACGGTTGATTGACAAATTGTCCAGTGGGACCTAAGGCTCCTTTTATAGCGCGCCTTCGTGTTTAAAATTTTTAAAAGTAGTCACTTGTTTTGCCTATTGCCTTAAACCACGTCCTGCAACTTAAGAATTCTCCCCTAAAACGGATTTAAAAGTTCATCTTTACTCTTTACATAGGCGAAGTCGCGCGAACACACGACAATACGTGAGAACCAAACAGACAACGTCCGCTACAAAGTCGACTACTTTACCAGCAGAAAAGTCGTCAATGGTAACGTTTTTAGTACTTGTCACCTGATTAGTGCTTTGGAGAGTCAGTTGTTATCAGTGAATGATGAAGTGTGTTTTGCTTTTTTTATGCAAGAATCCCTGAAATGCTAACTTGATTCAATAAATTTTCAACTCGGAGCATTGAATTTCTAGCGTCCAGATTTGCTCACTCAACTCATGGTTATCCGCTCATGTTCCAAGTTATCTTATAAGAAAATGCAATGCGCCGGCAGTTGCGGAGCTGAAAAAAAGCTCGAAATGTTCAAACGTTCAGGATTTAGTGATTTTTGATAAAACAGTTACTCCATTCGCGCTGGTTGGATACGAGATTGGTCATAGTACCATCTCATGTCCAACGCGCGTTTATAGTAATAATTGTTGGTAATATCTACTTGCAGGACGGGACAGAGACACCTAAAGGAGAATCAAAAAATGGGAAACTCTTCCAAGACTTGCAAGAGAACACTGCAGGTGTGAATTTTTGTGGAGCAATGACCCGATGTTGAACCTAAAATAACCTAATTCGTGCGCTGATTGATTAGATGTGCTTCTTGTTGAGCTCTAAACTGTAGAACTCTTTTTCAGTTGACGACTGTGAAAAAGGCTCATCGCAACCGAATGAAGAAACAGAAAATATTCCACCAAAGTTAACTCGATCCTCCACGAAAAAAGGAAAGAAGCTGTTCAAGAAACCCTCTGGGGTGACAGCTCTCTCGTCTCCGGCAAAACAGGTACAGTGATCTTCATAAGGCACAATCCAACCAGCTTGGAATGACATTTTTTTCTGCAACAAAGATTTTTAAGTGTATCTCACTGTATTTGCATCTTTTGATACCTTAAGGGATGTCGAGAAGTGAGGGAAGAGCAAGACTCCACCAGAACCATCATTGCCAGACAATTACGTCCACGAGCTGTTAAATATTTCTAGTAAAAGAATCGCATAATTGAATAAAATCTCGAATTATGATTGGTTAACCCGGCGAAGTATTTAGTGAGGAATTGCGAGATGAAAACGAAGCTAAGTGATATTGTTTCGCATCTCTTGTTTCGCTCTCAGGATAAAAACAAACAATATTATTGCTTTTTATTTTTTATTTTTTTTTTGGACTTATTTTCAATTATGCGATTCAAAGAAAATCCTCTACCGAACTCGTGAATTCCGCGTTAAATTGCACTTGAAAACCGATATCGAGCGCAATTTAATGTGGACTTCCCTCGTCAGGTAATGCATTTTCCAATAGAGTTGTAAAGTTGGTTTCTGAAGTAGCGTAGAAAAACTCGAGGTATTAGAATCAAGTGTTAGTTCATGCGCTTGATTCTGAAGTTTAACTAAGCATGGGATCATGAATCGTAAACTAATTGTGCTCTTTGTTTAGGCACGTACGTATTTTGAACGAGCTCTACGAGCTCCTTGACGCTACGTGGGTAGATAAAGTGTTGATTGATTGTGCGAATCAAACAGGGAGATTGTTTTGTTTCCCATTTCATGTTTGTGGAAATACCGTATTTATTCGATTAGGCGCCCACTTCAAATAAGTGCCCACCCTGAAGGCAGTAAAAGTTAGTAAGCGCCCACCCCACCCCCAAAAAGTACTT